TATATATATATATATATATATATATAACAAATAGTTTTTTCTCTTTCACAGATTCGAAAATTCTTTTACAGGATTTTTAAAGTATACGCATTAATACGTGTTTGTGAGGTGGAGTTTATGCCGGAAACGATCAAAAATTTCGAAAGTGAAATATTTTTTATGATTTCATATTGTTAGTGTGATATAGCGTCTCAAGCTATCAAGTCGTGGCAACATTTGTTCGATACGAAAGTTTTGCAATCTGTACTTACGAAATAGTAATCCATAAATACGTAGTTTGCACGAATAAATAACATCGAGTTTTTAGAATTAGTCTTAGACGCTTTATCGCGACGAATTTGTTCTACGAAAATTAACACGAACATACGACTGCGTGTATCATAGGTGCGTGAGATATATTGGTGTCGAAGTATTAAGAAGTATATGGGTGCGTTTCGAGTTACGCATGAAGCGCACGATGTATCGTTTTAACCTTCTTTATTATTTGGTGAATAACAAGGACAAATGATGCTTCATGCGCTTTATGCAAAACTCGGAACGCACCCTTCAAAGTTATGTTGATGCGCTGGAAAAACAGCGACTTTTGGTGACTTCGTCGGAGTTCGAGCTTTGCTTTAGGATTGCCTTAATTACTTTAAATGTGTTGTATATATTAAACTCAGATTATAAATTATTTGATTATAATTTATTTGATATCATTATTTATTCAACTCTTAAGATGAAATCACACGATGCTCGATTTCTTGAATGATAGCATGCATACAGTCATGTCTGCTCTGATATGCTAGAATTCATTCATGTATCGAGTGCTGCATGATGCATACATGATTTTTATATTTATTATAAATTACTTCGTAGCTTATTTCCTTACATGCATCAATCAAAAGAAATAATTGCTAATTTCATAGTTATTTGTAAACATTAGACTGTATGCATCAAACCAAGCATAGCAGCATGCATGCGCGCATCCCAGATAACATTGGCTAGAGGAATACCGGTAGAACTCTAAAATAGTGTTTAACTTGATCGCAAAATGCGAACGTATTAACAGAAAGGTAGAGCAATTAATTAGATGATAAGAGTATACGCCAACTAAAAGTAAACTTTCTTGCATTTTATGTAAAACGTTATTATAAGACTATTAGATTACTTTAGAAGGAAATAGATTTCTGTTTTCTTAAGATAAAAAAAAGAGTCACTATAACAATCTTCTTCTAACTAAAAGTTAAGTGTTAGAAGAAGATTATTATAGTGACTCTTTTTTTTTATCTTAAGAAAACAGAAATCTATTTCCTTCTAAAGTAATCTAATAGTCTAATAATCTAGTAATCTAATAATCTAATAGAAAAAATTGTAATGTGAGACCCCGTTTTATCTATTTTTTGTGGAATTTTTTATTTTATAGTTAATGATCAAGTTGTTAGATTAACTGGACAATAAAGATGGAATCACACGTGTTCGATTTCTTGAATAATAAGCATGCCCAGATAACATTCAAGCATCCTATTAGTAGTATAAAAGCATTCTACTCTAGAAAGTCTAGAAGTGTCCTTGTTGTCATCGAAAATGTACACAAATAGATGGATATGGTAATAAGATATTATGCATCTTTGAAAATAAGACTTGCAGGTTGTATAATATGTCGCTATTATCGAAAATCTGTATTTCGCTTTTAGTATATATAATATATATGTCCTTATTGCATTAATTTTATTTAAATTTATTTAAAAAAATTTAGAAGTTTTTATATTACGTACGAAAAGCAATGTACAATAAAAAAAATTATTATATTGTTACTTCTTTTCTTTTGTAGTTTCAGTTACTTCTTAAATATTAGTTAATTGGTTTATCAAATAATTTATATTCTATACCAAATAAAAATTGTGTTCAATTGCTTCAAATATTTACTCTTGTACGCATTCAACTTGCCTTTCTCGCTTTCCAATTATCTAAGACTCTAAACACTTCCTCTACGTACTTAAGATGTGTATGGATTACTTCGGTCAAATCGTTCAGTATCGCACGACAGCGTTTGCAATACGAACCAAAAACTTAGTCCATTTATGTTGAACAACAAATCGATCTCCGATACGTGAAATACGATTTCAATATGGATGTTTGAATCTGATTCAATTATCTAAAAATCAATTATCGAAAATTAGAGAATTAGAGAATTGATTCTCCAATTGCCTTTGATTTTTAAAGATTGATTCATTTAATAAGAAATCTCGCAGGCAGGTCCAATTTCCGATTTCTTCAATAAGAGTTACATTCACTTCCAGAAGATATAGTGGTTGAGATGTATTCTCCCTGTGTTGAGAGAGAGAGAGAGAGAGAGGGGGGGGGGGGGGGGGGAAAAAAATATAGTAAAACTGAACGGTTCACGTTACATATGCCATAGATTCTTATAGCATTTCCTGTTTTCTGAACGTAGCAATTT